GCAGCAGCAGCAGCAAGAGCAGCAGCAGCGCTAGTGGAGACCCAGGCGATGCAGCAGCAGAGGGAAAGAAGAGCAGCGAGGGACAGAATGTGTCTCCTTCAGGACAAGCACCAGCATATGTTGTAAGTATACTGTGTCTAGGGTTTAGGGTTTAGGGTTTAGGGTTTAGCAGTGGTTTCCTGTTCGCGTGTATCTTATGGCCAATTTCTTGATTTAGAATCACTTTAACATTATGTTTAGGGTTTAGGGTTTACGGTTTAGGATTTAGGGTTTAGGGTCTAGGTTTATATTTTAGTGTTTAGGGTTTAGGGTTTAGGGTTTAGGGTTTAGGGTTTGTATTCAGCTGCATTCAATAGAATGGCAGTATCGTTTGTTGGGGGATTTGAATTTCTTTTTTGGTCAATTTGAAAATTCTCTTCAAAATTATCGAAGTGCAGCAGCAGACTTTAAACAAGATAAAAAATGGGCTTATTTAGGTAATTTTTTTTCCTGCTGCTGCTGCTGCTGCTGCTGCTGCTGCTGGAGGTGCTGCTGCTGCTGCTGCTGCTGCTGCTGTTGTTGTTGTTGTTGTTGTTGTTGTTGCTGTTGGTGGTGGGTTTGTTACTCCTCATGTCTGGTGTTCTCCTGCTGCTGCTGCTGCATCTGCTGCTGCTGCTGCTGCTGCTGCTGCTGCCATTCCAAGTATATCTTTTAGTCTCTTATTTCTTTGTCCTTAATATAATTAATTAATTAATTAATTAACTAATATAATTAATTAATTAACTAGTATAATTAATTAATTAAGTAATTAATTAATTAATTAATTAATTAATTAATTAATTTATTTATTTATTTATTTGTGTGTGTATAGGTGGTGCCTATGAGATGTGTGCTGCTTCTTTGCATGCAATGGGGGGACAAAGAAGGGAGATTGAATCTTATATTGATCAAGCTTATGCTGCATATATTAAGGTCTGCTGCTGCTGCTGCTGTTGCTGCTGGGGTTGCTGCTGCTGCTGCTGTTGCAGCTAGTGTTAGTTGTGCTGCTGTTGGTGTTTTGCTGCTGTTAATGCTGTTGTTGCTATTGCTGATATCCTGGCTGCAGCCTCATTTCCTTCTCCCTCCTGTTGCTGCTGCTGCTGTTACTGCTGCTTCTACTACTACTGCTGCTGCTGCTGCTGCTGCTGCTGCTGTTGCTGCTGCTGCTGTTGCTGCTGCTGTTTATCAGGCTGGTACAGGTCGTTTAGCCTTACGTTGTGTCTTATTGGGTCATCGTTTATTGATGGAGTCTTGTTACTACAGCAGCAGCAGCAGCAGCAGCAGCAGCAGCAGCAGTGGTGGTGGTGGTGTTGTTGGTGGTATATTAGGTATAGGTGGTGGTCTTAGCAGTAGTAATAGTATGAATAGCAGCAATATAAACAGCAGCAACAGCAGCAGCAGCAACAGCAGCAACAGCAGCAGCAGCAGCAGCAGCAGCAGCAGCACAGCAGCAAGCTTCTTACAATTCCCTAATATGTTACATATACCTCTTATAATAGGAGGAAGCAATCGTCCCTCTGATGTATCAGCAGAGGTAGCTAATCGTTTATTAGCAGCAAATACAGAGCTCCCTTCCTTGGATGCTGCTCTCCTTCATCAGCAGCAGCAGCAGCAACAGCAGCAGCAGCAGCAGCAGCAGCAGCAGCAGCAACAAAGTATATATATAAGGAGTGCTATGCTACTAGAGCAAGCTGCTGTCTGTTTATCTTTTGCGGGTAATTTGCATAAAAGAAAGGAAAACTTCCAACTCGTCATGGCAGGGCATACATATTATAAGGCTGGTAACTTTTTTCCTCCTCCTCCTGCTGCTGCTGCTGCTGCTGCTGCTGCTGTTGCTGCTGTTGCTGGTGCTGCTGTTGCTGATGGTGGTGGTGCTGCTGCTGCTGATGGTGGTGCTGCTGCTGTTGCTAGTGTTAATGGTGATGATGGTGGTGTTTGTGTTGTTGTATTGTGTTAGTATTGCTGCTGCTCTTGATACCGTTTCTGCTGCAGTTGCTGCTGTTGCTGCTGCTGCTGCTGCTGTTGTTGTATATAAATATACATATATGTATATGTATATATGTATATATGTATACAGGCTATAAAAGATATGCATTACGTTGTTATATAAATGTATATAATAAATATATAAATATAAATTTTATGAATATAAATCATCATTTATTATTTATAATGGCTAAACAATCTTCTTATTATATTAATATTATTCATGAATCTTTTCTTCTTTTCTCCCTTTTATTCAATTTATTCCCTTTTATACAACAATTATTATTCATTAATCATATCTATATACATACAGGTATTTTTATTATACTCTTATTCATCCTCCTGCTGTTGTTGCTGCTGTTGCTGCTGTTGCTGCTGCTGCTGTTGCTGCTGCTGCTGCTGCTGTTGTTGTTGTTGTTGGGGTTGGGGTTGAGGGTTTGCTGCTGTTCTTGTTGTTGCTGCTGTTGCTGCTGGTTTATTTATATTTATATTAATTAATTAATTAATTAATTATATTTATTTATTTATTTATTTATTTATTTATTTATTTATTTATTTATTATTAGGTCCTCCTTGTATATCAGCAGAGAGGCAGAATTATTATATGAAGGAATTTCTTCTTATTTGTCGTCTATTAAGGGAAAGACATAAACAAATAAATATAAATATAAATATAAATAATAATATAAATAATAATATAAATATATATAATAATAATAAAGAAAATAATTATTCTTTTTTTTCTCCTTTTTTTCTTCCTCCTCTTTCTTTTTTTCCTCCTTTTATTGATCTAAGAATTCCTCTTGTACAACAAAGAGATCAATTAGGATTATTTAGGGGAAGGTACGGTGTATACGCACCTATTCCTACTCCTGCTGCTGCTGCTGCTGCTGCTGTTGCTGCTGCTGTTGCTGCTGCTGTTGCTGCTGCTGTTGCATGTGCTGTATAGCACATGCAGCAGCAGCACAAGGGGTGTATAGGCAGCTCTTAGAGGTGTATATAGAGATAGTTAATTGGGGTGTATAGGCAGGTATTTAGGGTGGACACACTACTGCAGCAGCAGGAGGAGGAGGAGGAGGAGGAGGAGGAGGAGGAGGAGGAGACGAACAACAAGAGTCTCCTTTATCCTTTGTCCAATTAGCAGAGTCCCTTTGCTGCCGCGGTGTATCTGCAGCAGCAGCAGAGGAGCTGCAGCAGCAGCAGCAACTACTTAATAGGGTATATAAGGCATGGAGGAGACAGTCCCTTAATCAGCAGCAGCAGCATCAATCTACTATGGATCCAGTAAGCTGCTGCTGCTGCTGCTGCTGCTGCTGCTGCTGCTGCTGCTGCTGCTGTTATTGCTCTTGTTGCTGTTGCTGCTGCTGCTGCAGGGTGATCTATTTGTATTATTTATTTATATTTATTTATATTTATTTATATTTATTTATATTTATTTATATTTATTTATATTTATTT